CTTCTCTTTGAAAAATTACTTATACAAGTCAAGTTTCATCACGATCGGTTGAGCGATGTAGAAGTTTATCACTTACTAACCAACCAATCAACAAACATCCATTTTTATATATTAGATTCACAAAAAACATCGATGATTTTCAGCATCAATCTAGAAAGTCATCGAATGTTCGTGCAATTTAAAAGTTGAAAGAAATGAGCATAATTATGAGATCTTTCGAAAACTACCCACTAAAATTAAAATTCTTCTAAATCTGTGTAAGACAGTAAAAAACATTAATGTTCAATATGTAATAAGTAATTGGAAATTATCTTCGGGAATTTTAAATTTTTCATCAGAATATTAACCATAAAAACTCATATTGTACAATCATCCATATCTTGAATGAAAATACGGGAACAATAGAATGTACAATTTCCTTATTGAATGCACGAACTTTTTTCATGTTATCAAAATCAGTAAATTCCACTACTTCCGTTAAGATTATCTGCAAGTACCACACCACAACCACAGACGACAAATTATCTCATGACCACTTGTAAAAATATAACACTGAGATTATGAAAACAATTTTTACCATATCTCTGAAATACATATAATGAAGGAAAAAAAATTCCAAGTAAAAATGTGTTTTATTATGACCTAATTATTTATAAAATATGACATTGTGATGATTAAGCCTCAAAACAATAATATTATTCCGAAACATTTTCGAAACTTAAAAAAAACTAATTATTAAAAAATACGTTGAACTATCGAAGATTAATTCTATTCAAAACCATGATTTTGTGGAAAAAAAATCTTTCCAATATGGGTTTACGTTTCTATGACTCAGTCAGTGTCTCATATGTACCATAATTGGTGGAAATTACAAAAAAAAATATCAAAAAATCAAAATCTACTTTATTGTCCAAGAATAACAATTCTTATGACAATGCATACAGTCACCATGATAACATCACAAATATCAAAAAATCAAAATCATCCTATGTAATCCAAACTTATCCCCAGGCCGCAATTCAAGATATAGAAAATTGGCTTCTGAACACGAGATTCCAAATCGATGCCAATAAAACCAAAGTATATAATTTTTGCTAAGAAATCTAATCAGACTGAAATGAATATCAAACTTAACAATGAAACCATACAGGTCACAAGTAAAATAGCATACCTTTGTCTTCTGTTAGCGTAGACCAGTGCTCGATATCCTTAAACAAAAATGATAAATTTTTGAGAAAAAAATGTTTTCAATTCGTAGTATATAGACGGTATGTTTCATGTTTAGAGTGACACATAAGCAACCTTATATCGAAAGAAGAATATCTTATATTCGGGAGAGAACAATAAGCCATGAATACAAAGTTTGCGACTTGTATTTTCAAGTGTTCTGACCATGAATCCTCTACGAGTATATTTTGATTCATATAAAATTTACTCGTAAAACAATTTCTGAACTACATCTTGGACTTGGAATGTCATGCTGGAAACTAAAGATGTAAAATCTCTGGAAATGCATTTCAATATAGCTAAAAGATCTTTCATTAGATATAGGAATGCATGTTGAAAGGTAAGACCTCGTTAATCATTTGCTCGCACAACTTTTGACTTTTGAGGGTTGTCATTCATAGGGGAGCGACAGCGGGAAACTGAGAAACAGATTTTTAACAAATTTTTTAACAAATTCGAGAAAATGCTGACAGGGCACGTTGACCTCCCTCTATGGATATAATGATACATTTTCTGATCAAAGATGATATTAAAATTTAAGTTATATTTCATTGAATTCAGAAGAAAAAATGTTTTTGGCTTCTACTTCTCCATCTTCATACATAAAATTTTGGTAAACTTCCGAAGGACGGAAGAAAGCAATTAAACTTGATATTAACTTTTTATAAAGATGTGTAGATCATGCATTTTATTTAGCTTTCGAAACAACTACTTTCACATGAAAATTAAATTACACGAAATTGCTTCCTTCCTTCCTTCCTTCCTTCCTTCCTTCCTTCCTGGAATGGAGTAATGGAAGCCAAAATGCTTGTTTTTCCCTACCGGCCCTTATGTTATTTGTTACAGATTTTTAGAGTCTAGAGTCTTGTCAATGTCGGCATAATTATGTGGAACAATGTGAACATTCTGATATTGAAACCAATTGAATACTCAAAAATTATCAAAACCGAGATACCTAGATATCGATCAATGAACATCTCCGTGATATTTAATATTCATTGACTTCTACCAATAATCTCTTTCAGTTGAAATAATACTGTCTATCTCATAATGAAATTGTAGGTACTAATATATTTTAATGTTTCTTCTCATTTTATTCCCAGCACATATTTCAACACAACCTTACCTGTTATTCAATGAAGAAATTACAAGGGTACACAAATTTTATCAACTTGAAACGAGTAAGAGTTTTACTTCCACTTGAAACGAAAATATGAACTATCAAACACCATTACTAGATTATCGTTGGTAATTTGAGATGAGAAATGTTTTAATTTCCATTCACGAAGTATGATGGGAATAGGGATCTATGCGAAAGACGGTTAACATATGCGACCTATTCGATGGAACTCACGAAATGACGACATGTGTAACAGACTAACAGATCTAACATGTGTTTTAAACTTACATTGTACATCCAAAAAAATAAACCATTAGAATACCGTGTGTATAGTCATCTATATTATGATGTATCGGTAAAAAAACGCTTAAAAATACTACTTATATAGATACGTAATAGCCATAATTTATCATTTCAGTTTTATAAAACGTTTCTTCGGTTTCTCGAAACCTACTTTTTGAAAAGCAAATTAATATGTTTTCTATTGGGATAGAAGACCTATTGACAACACTTTTCTCTCACCAAAACAAAAACGCTGTTTCTCGACACGCGTTCTGCTAATCAAATTAGCACCGTCAGTCTTAATCATGTTCCAAAGATGCTAACTTGGTTATCGAAACGTGCGTCGAGAGACAGCATTTTTGTTCTGACGAGGAAAAAGTTTTTTTCGATAGATTTTGATAAAATTAGAATTCTTAGATCAGTTGAAAAATTAGTTGAATGGAACTGCTAGGTGTAGGTGTCTGTAAGATATGTGCTTTGTGTTACAACTATAGAGAACTCATTTTTCCACCTACATAACAATTTGCTGAGGTTGCTGACTACTCCGAATAACAAAAGCATCATCCAACATAGATTCGTGATCGGTATCATTTGCAAAGCATAAGCGGAATAAGTCATTAAAAATCGTTGAGTATTCACAGTTGAAGAAAACTCAGAAGGAGAGATATTAAGTTCAAGCAAGGTTAGTTGCAGAAAGTTTTTCTCAAGGAGCTGGTATTGACTTTGACGATACTTTTGCACCAGTTACTCGATTCGATACTATAAGAACAGTTTTATCAAAGTCTGTTTCCGAAAATTTGCACTTGTCACAATTTGTGTGAAGACGGCTTTTTTATACGGATTACTAGACTAAGAACTTTATGTGGAGCAACGCAAATGGATAACTATCACGATGGTACTGATAAGGTATGCAAGTCATTGCATAGTCTGTATGGTTTGAAACAGCAACACCGTTGTTGGAATTTGCGCTTCACGGAATTTCTGAAGAAAAAAGGATTGCAGCAAAATTCATCAGATGCATGTTTATTTATCAGAAAAGAACCAGATAAATTACTTGTTGTAATTTATGTTGACGACGGATTAGTATTGGGAACAGAGAAATTTCTCAAAACACTGAGCAGAACTCGTTTTGGGAAGTTGAGACATCTACTGGGTGTTACTAACAGACCACTGCACTTCAGTTCAAGAGGCAGTGTTGGAATATGAACTGAATTGCAACTTATGTGCTTTACTTGTTGTAATTTATGTTGAGGACGGATTAGTATTGGGAACAGAGAAATTTCTCAATGAGTTGAAAACTGAGTTTTAGGTAACTGGGTGCACAGCAAGATATCTTGGGATTGAAATAAATAAATCAAACGGAGGTGTATTCCTCAGCCAGGAAATATATATTGAAAAATTTTACAAAAGTTCAATTGGTGTCAGTGTCATCCTGTCAAAACACTAATTGAGAAATGTCACATTCAGTCCTATGCATTTATCAGTAGCTACAAGGCATGATATAGCCTTTGCTGTTCACTTTGTAACACAAGCAGTGTCGAAACCAAAGTATCATTACTGGGAGTTACTGAAAAGAATATTAAAGTATCTGACTACAGCATTAGTAAGTCAAAGTTAAATCAAGGTGCACTAGCATGGTTTAGTCAAAAACAACGACGATGGAGGCAGAGTACATTACAGCAAGTCAAGCCGCTAATGCAATTACCTGGTTGAATTGTCTTCTTGATGAAATGTATACATATGTGAAGACTATCTCGGTATTATGGATTGACAAGGCTGGTGCTTTGAAGTTGGTTCGCAATCCAGAATTTCATAAAAGATCCAAGCACATAGACGTTCGATGCCATTTTATTAGAGAAAAAGTACAAGAAGGTATATTTCAAGTAGGACATATGTAGCAGGCGAAGATCAGATAGCGGATATTCTCACCAAAAAACACTGAGCAGAACTCGTTTTGAGAAGTTGAGACATCTACTGGGTGTTACTAACAGACCACTGCACTTCAGTTCAAGAGGCAGTGTTGGAATATGAACTGAATTGCAACTTATGTGCTTGCTAAATGTTATTGAAAAGTTTAGTTCGTCAATTATTTTTACTTAAAAGTTTGACTGTCCTGTCACGTGTAATTTTGTATTCCTCAAGTTTATTAAAGTTCTACTTCAACTTTGTTATTTCACTACGATCCACAGTTTCGAGTATAGTTTACAACATTTATCAATTTCTCGTAACTTCATATTTCAAGTTTCTAGTTTTACTTTCATTTTCACCTTTCTTAACCCGCACGGGTCGACTATGTTTTATGCCAAAACAAATGACAAACACGCATATGGATCTCTGATATGGATAAACGAAAAATGTGAATGCTTTTGAAGTTCAGTTTTTCATAAATAATAATGCGATTGCGCAAACTAGCACGCAGGCTGCGCAAAACGACAACTCATTGGTCGACCTCTCTCTGACATTGAACTTTTCAAAATATTAGTAGTATCTTCATAATCTTTTTTCAAATTTGCACAAATCGTGTAGACAATTAAAGCTCACACTTGAACTATTCAATCATTATTACTGGACTCCAAAAAGGTAAGCATCTTACAAAACTGTGAAAAAATTCTAACCTTCAAAAATTCTACATAGTTGTAATTTTCATAAAATTTTCCCAGTATCTTTAGTGAAATTGTTTGGAATTGATGAACTTATTTGTTTAGGGTTGAATATGGCCCTTACTTCCGTTAATATATCTACAAACCCTTTCGAGGGTCAGAAACCAGGAACAAGTGGATTGAGAAAGAAGGTAAAGGTGTTCATGGAAAAACATTATACTGAAAACTTCATCCAGTGTATTTTGAATGCTCTTGGAGACAAAGTTAAAGGTTCTACCTTGATTGTTGGAGGAGATGGAAGATATTTTTCCAAACAAGCCATCAATATCATTATAAGAATTGCATCTGCTAATGGGGTACGTTTTATGTTATTTTCTTATTGAATAAATGTTTTAAAATGTTATCAGTTCGAATTACTCAATAACTGATTATATTTGTTGTATTATACTGTTGAAAATATTTCAATTTCAATGTGTCTTGAAATTGTAACGGCAGTTATTGCACCTGGATATATTATCTTATTTCTAGCAATAATTTTCATAAAGATTAAGTCAGTTGCAAAGAAATTTATAATTTTTGAATGTTACTCTTCATATCCCCTCAAAGGTAAGGTTTCCTGTTGTGTAATTGTTTTTCAAAAATATTAATTTACTCAATAATCTATTTAGGCAAGGAATAAATAGAATAAAAATCTTATTACATGTTTTGGTAAATCAATATGTTTTCCTCCAGTATGGATGTTCATTACTTATCATTTTTTGTTTTTTAAACAATTTTTCAATGAAAATTTTATCTGGTATTTGGTAAGATAATTGAGAACTATGGCATTGTCTGCCACTTATTTATTATTCTCTTGTTATTTTCAAATACCAATCTTAGTGCAATCCTGTAATCATGTATTCATTCAAAATTGCAGATATTTGAGAAAACTCAAAAATAAGAGATATACAAAAGTATATAATGAGTAAAAAAAGTTTATATAAAATGTTGATGGGGTATCCTTATGGTAATAAGGCCACTTGAGTATTTTTTTTCTACAGTTTTTGAAAGTAGATACTTTTTCTTTACTTGCATTATCTGATGGCAGATAATGCAAGAGATAATCCTAAGAGACAATATTAGAAGTTGCACTAAACCTTACAAACAATTAATACCAATTCCATGCTCGTCCTCAAATTACTATGCCTACAATTCCTATACTCAGAACTTTTTTCTCAAACAAAACATCACAAGCCATTTCCTACATAATTTTTGTATTATCACTATAATATAGACTCCATAATAAAGGGTTGAATCCTAAAATTTGCAAAAACACTAGTTATTGCACCCTTATACAATAGTGAAAGTTGATAGAATTTACATTAAGTGCAAATGGATTCATCGATTATAAAGCAGCCCATATCTATAATAAAAAATTATATAAAAAATATAATCTGCCAAATGTCAAGGTTTGCCACAGCTGTGGGAATAATCCTTTCTTTGGAATATTGTCACAATTATGTATAGAGATGAAGAAGTACAAAGCTAAAACTTTTTTTTTCCATACTTGTCTTGTCATTTCATTTGGATTCCAGGACATCGACCACAGATGCACATCTTCACAGGCAGCAGGAGGTTGCATATCTTAATGAGGATTTAGAAAAAGCTTGGAACACTGTTCCAAACCAGAAAACTGTACACTCCTAAGCAAATTTGATGCTTTATAAAGCTCAGGTCATACCTTCTTTGGAGAATTGTTTTCATGTATGGAGCTCCGCCCCTAATTATACCCCGAAGCTGCTGGATTCCATCCAGAAAAGAGCCATCCTTCTGATTGGAGACGTAAACATCACTTGCAACCTTGATAGTCTGGAACATCCAAGAAAGGTTGGAGATTCCTCTCTCTTCTATACATACTTTCACAGAAAGTGTTTAAGTGACTTGACACATTTGATTCCACCAAGAGCGGTATATATCAGAAATACTGTGACTGCTCATCGTTCTGAGGTCCAACTAGGTACACCTCAAACTTCACTGTTCAAGAACTTCTTCGTTCTCAGGAAGTTTATGTGGAATAAATTTCCTGAGAACGTTTTTCCAAATGGATTTAATCTCCATTTTGTATTTTGTTGACGTACTTCAAAATAAAAAAAATTTGCTACGCTCGAGAATGACGTTATTTTTTTACAACTAACAGGCGGCCTTATATATGGGGCTCATATTTGGTGTATGTACTTAACCGGGTACAAGGTATCCCCCTGTATATTAATCTGCCGCGCTTTAGTAAATCCAGAAATCTCCGCTTGGGCTCCCCTACTATAAGGAGTTTCCTAGATGACTATTTGCAGTCCCATCAACCATGATAAATTGCCTATATGAAAATATCTAAGGTTAGAAAGTGGAACTGAGAGTTCTTATCATTGTCTATATTTTTGGTAGTTTTGAGTTCAATTTTTAAATATATGATATCTCGTATTTTATTTAATGACTGGCATTAACCTATTTGATAAGCCTGATACTATAAGTATCTGGTACTGACAAGTAAAATATTGTTAAATATATACTATACACTGTGGTTTAGGGACATTGGGCTTTTATTTGGTATCCTTAGTCAAAATTTCTGTGTATTTCATTCAACTAATTGCTGATGAAGGATATTAGATACACTGATAGTTTTTCATTAAACCGAATAAGAGGGATTATTTAAAAATACAATGAAATTTGCGATTTGAAGTTCAAGGTTAAGACACTTCTTTCAAGTTTGGAAATTTTTTCACAAGTGAAACTTGGTTTCTAGATTTTTGTGGTCATCATGATTTGAATAGTTCACATATTATTGACTATTATTCAGTGAAATGAATCACACTGTACTGTAAAGTAAACTGCAGAAGAAACAGTATATACGTTATTTTGGGAAAGCTTCAATCTCAAATGATACCAAGTCGTCCAATTTGTTTAAAAAATCTATTTTATGATACTGTTCAAATCTAGTTTTCCTACAACTTTCACTGAACTTTGCTATCAATATATAATATAATACCGGGTGTCCCACATTTTATGTGACAGGCAATATCTGGTTTGTTGAAGGAGATACACAAAAATGTTTCATACAAAAGTTTTAGGAGTTCATGAGAGCTATATTTTGATATAATTTTTAAATATACAGGGTGTTTGGTGTAGGTGCTACAGACCAAAATTCCATTTTTTAAAATAGAA